TATAAATTAATTAACGACTGACTTAAGCAACTCATGATAGACAAAACGAGAGAGAGAGGCATGTTCAAAAAAGTTCCTTGAGTATTGTTTGAACTCTGGGTTACACACTAGGTTGATCAGGTACATTTATATACAAAGGCAAGTAGCTCGGAAGTAAACGAATAGCATTGCCATGAGCCATAAGGTTAGTGCCTCAAAGATAACCCTACTACGAGGCCGCAGCCCTACAAGGGCGGGTGCAGAAACACCTCTTTGATCTAAATACGAACCCTAGGAGCTGGCTCGGGGGCGCTTGTGAGGATAGCTAACCATGCGATGCCATAACTTGGGCTCATTTTGGGATTGGCTAATAGGCTTTAAGCGCCAGATGCTCGCCGAAAGGGGTTAGTTAGCACCAAGAACCAATAAATGGTTAGGTCAAGAACCTCGGTGCATTTCTACAACTTCCGTATTCCAACATCACCTTCATGAAGTAGAGCAGGGACTTCCAGTTCTCAGCATATTGGGAGAAGTGAAAGTCCCTTTCTCCTGCCCCTCCCATGGACCAGACGATCAAATTTTTTGTGGTGAATTGTTTGATGAAAAGCTTACCTTATCTCCGTCTTCTGTCACTATCATTGGATTAACACCACGAAATAAACACGCTTAAGCAAACTGTACCCGGCCACTTTTCAATCTTACCAATACATCTAACGAGTTTTTTATTGATCACTTTTGAGAAATAATCAAAGAAAGAAAAAAGTAGAAATATGGAAGTAATCAACACGTGGCGATTGCTTCTGTCACGTTCACGGCAGTTCCTTTATTATTCGGCTATCAGTCAACTGATAAGCAGTGAAGGGAAGCGCGATCTTTTGCGCTTAACCAAATTACTATTGACGCTATCATCACCTTATGATGAGGGCAACAGAACACCCAAAGTATTTCTCGCACTTTTTCTGTAATCTGCGGTCAACCTATTTCATGGTAAATCTGATTTCAGATGAGAGTGCAGATTCCATTCGAAGGGAGGGGTTCGAAAGATTCTGAGCCATTCAGATTGCACCATCCACTCGAACTTTACGTGGAGCATGTAGACGTAAATGTAATTTGGCTCAAGACCAGTGAGTCGCAGCAAATGTTCAAATGAATATTTACATTTTGTTGCCGAGAGAGCTTGGTTCTTATTAGGTTAATAGCAAAGTGCAAAGCGTAAGGTGTTCGTCTATCCATTTTTGAGATGCGCCATGGGTTCTACCTCCATCTAAAATCTTGGCGACACTCGAATGCGATTAGGCCTACACAATGACTTGCGAAGCAGTCTGCGTTTTCCCTCATAAAAAGTCATTTAAACGACCCTGGAGTGATAGGTTGCCTGGTTTATCTGGACAGCGTATGGTATACTATTTGATCCCAGCACCTTGGTTGCTGGGTTGGGGTTTGAGCAGGGCGCTATGGGCTAGAGTCTCGAACTAACTCTCAGCTCAGACACACAGGTAACTCTTGAGGAAGGTGAGCAGCTCTCCTCGCCCCTTGCTACCATACAACCTTCTACAACCAATAATGAAGGAAAGCATCGCGGTTCAGAGCAAATTCCCACGGCAACAAAGAGAAGAACGGCTCGAGACAGTGAAGCGTTGAGGCTGAGAACCCAAACTAGACTGAAAAATTATGCTCCAATGGCATGATCTGAAGGACAACATCCAGAGCAAAGATTGGTCGTCAGTTTCTTGTGAACGGAATCAAAAAAACGGAATGGGTTTTATTTGTTCAAACGACTCCCGATACCATGGGAGCAACCTGATCACTCAAAATGTGAGCATAAGTGGTGAGAGGGAAATTTGAGTCTGCCACGAGTACCACGCAATAAAACCAACAAAAGGTGTTTTTGGTTGAAAATTTGCACAAAATTGGTAAAGCGCAATGGATTGAGGTCTATGATGCTTCGCGGTAGTAAACGCTGGTCTCAGGCTAAGTCCAAGATCGCGACATACAACAGCATTAAGAAGCTGGGTTAGGGTTTGAGCAGGGCGCTATGGGCTAGAGTCTCGAACTAACTCTCAGCTCAGACACACAGGTAACTCTTATGTGCCTCATGGTGGGGAAGGTGGATAGGTGGGAGAGGGGTGGGGGCGAGCACCATGACCTACTAACAAGGGTGAATAGCGGTCGAGAAAATCCTTCACCACAGCTCTGCACTGTGTGAAAATATTGTCGAAGGTGAATGTACGAGCGGAGAGCACAGACGGCTCGCGCGTGGCGAGTGAATGTAGCGCGGGAGAGCGTGACTGACAGTCGTCGAAAATGCTCGGCCGATTTCCACCCTGCTACAAGCCTTTGTAAGAAGGTCTCCGGACATCTGGCAACCGTGAGGCTAGGCAATTCAGCGTTTGTTGTGCTGTCTGGGAGCTCTCACACAAGCGCAC